CTGATCATTTTCACAGCCAAACAGTCCCACTCTCCTCCTAGACTTAAATCTTACACTCTATACAGTACACTGCTTCTGGTCCAGCAAAATGTTTACAAAGTATTATTCAGTCTCCTTTTAATTTCATATCCATTTCACTTTGCCTTTTGGTTTTATTTCTTTTAAATTGTCATACCTTAAATGCAACATAGTTATAATATATGCATAATATTTACAGTGAGGAAATATTCACAAATATCTGCAATAAAACCAGGATAAAATAATATAAATAGTAGATTAACAAATATATGAAATACTGTAAATGTAAATGCTAAAATTCTCATTTCTGTAAATCATTATAGTCCTCTTTTTTTTTTTTTTCTCCCCAGCATAGATAAGACACTTTAGAATGATGAAGCTGTCCAGGTATTAGGCAGTTTTGTTTCAAGCGCATGACCTAGGATTCTATTAATGATCAGTTCTGACCCCTACACTTCCCCATAGACTCCTAGAGATAATGAGAAGAGCAGGGAACTATTGATCAAAACTTAATGTGGCTTCCTTGTGGATCTTGAGTTCCTGTGTTAAACAAAATCAATCAATGCCAACTGAAAAAGGATGTTAATCATAACGTACAAACAAATTATACCAACTAAGATTCCACAGCAAATAATAGTTACATTTGCAAAAGACTTAAAACTTCATTAAAACTTTAAAAATTTAAAAAAAACCCAAACTTTGGTTTACAAGATAAATTGTCTGAACACTTTGAATTCAGTTTCCTGAGCTCCAGCTATCCCAAATCCAGCAATTTTGGATATCAGGATCAATGTCCTAGGATTTCTAACCACACTTTGTGGACATAGAAGTATCCAGAACTCAAATCCAGAGCATGAGAACCTTCTAATCACAGAATTCAGGTAAGCAAATTAAAGACTGCCATCCTAATTTTCTCAAGCAATTAAACCACTTCTCTCATACCACTTTTCCTCTCATCAACTGTTCCTATTTTCTGGAGAAAATTGCTGTTTATTTTTGAGCTATAAATATATATTGGACAGAATTACTGGAACATTTAAATGTTCATCCCGCTCTTCTCAGGTTAAAATGCTTTGGCCTAACAAATTTTATTTTATTATTTATTTTATTTTCAGATAGATACAATTCTTGTGAAAGAATGCAAAACATGGGTCCATGTGTATACATACACTGTTATCAGAGTCTTTGTCCCTTGCTTTAAAACAAATTTAAATTAGCAAAGGTACTGGACAAAAATAGAGAATAATTGCTATCTTCCAATCTCTCACCGGCTCCAGCTTAAAAAACTGATGAAGCTTGACTGACACACAGGGAAATTACTCTGGTGATAAACCAAATGCTATGTTGAAATTTAATATCTTATCAAAGTAATGCAACTGAGGTCATTGCTATGGAATTTGATCTCAAAAAAAGGACTAGGGAATGCAGCTGTAAATGATAATAATATAACTAAAAGTGCAGGCAAAGTACTGTCATAATATCACAAAACCTGCCCTCATGAATAAAAATTATATCACAACCAAACATACCAAATATATATTATGACTCTGTGGGTCTAGGAACGAAGCAATCAACACTAAATCAAGCCTGAAATCAGGGTGAATATTGACGCAATTTTTTTCAGATTACACTAGCAATCTGCCATACATAAAGACTGCTAGAAAAATTATAAAGGGTAAATCAGCACTCTCCATCATAAGGAAATATTTCAAGAAAGTCTCTGTTCTTTGTGCTCTGCTCAGACCAAGCCCTAACCACTGCATTTTCATTTTTAAGAATTCCAGTTTTATCTATCTGACATATACCATCTTTCATTTCTTAGGAAAAGACCTTAGCTGATGTAGCAGTGGAAAGTGGAGCGGATTTTGGTAATCAACTCAGGACTTACTTTAAGAGCTATATTGATAAGTGCAATCTCAGACAATGCTTGTGAGGTTTTAAGAGCCCTTAAATTACTTACTCTTTTTGCTGCAATAATTGACGCTTGCATTTCAGAGCTCCAGGAGACAGAGAGCATAACTGAATATATTCTAAGGCACTTCTCTCCATTAAACAATGAACAAATAGTAGCCAGGTACAACATGATGCATTTTAAGGTTGTAAAAATTACCAGCTTTGTACCTGAATCTTCAAAACACCTTCTTGCCAGAAGCTGTAACACAGTTGTTAGCTAATGTTTTCTTGCAAGTAGGTTAGCATGTCACACTGACTATGCATTAATTATTAAAGGTCTAAGGTGTAATTCTGCTATCTTTACTTCCAAAATAATCTCACTAAAATCAAGACTATATAAAGAATAAAACTTTAAAAACCCAAATCTTTGGAAAGCAAACTGGCATGAAAAACTCCACTGCCCAATGAGATTTTTTTCTTTTTGATAGCAGAAACGAAATCTCAAATAGCAATTATGTTCTTAACATCAATTATAACATAAATAAAGAAAATTTGCAACAGCACATTCTATGTCCTATTTAAGAAAGCTCAGAGAAGGATTTATTTGTTTGTTTTGAAAATGAGATTCTTTATTGTAAAAAAAAAAGCCCCCAAACCAATTATGTTTGGTTGTTGTATTCCTAAACCAGCAGTATATGACTTAATATCAGAGACAAAACTAGCTTTTCTCAGGCATAATTTTATGTAGTTATCATGTTCTATCCAGAAGAAAGCATTTAGTAGCTGTGTTAGAAACACTTTATTCTAGAAATTAATATAAATGGAAAAATTCAGTGCATATTCTTTAAACTATGAACCTGGTAAACGTACAGGTGGATACTTGTTAGTCAATGGCCAATTTATCTGCCAGCTGAATTTGCAACCAGAAGATTAGAGACAAGATAAAGTGCTTGTTTATTCTTTCCTATATAAATGTTTTTATAGTATGTAAAACTATTTTTTTTAACTCCTTTCACTAATAAACCTACAGATCAAAGGTTTGGATTGCGCCTTCATTTTAATTTGAGAACTTGATATACAATTCTAGGTATTAACCTTTTTGAGCTTTGATTACAGAACATCCCTAATATCCTTCAAGAAAGCAAAGTAGCATGTCCTACACGTCTTGCAGTTATCATTCTTAGCAAAGGGCTTAACATCTTAACTATAATCATTTCACAAAATAATAAAGAACACCATTATTAGATCTTACTTGAACTATGTAGAAAAGCTTTAAAAAATGAATTATAACACTTGGACACATAAGTTAATGGGCAGCTGTATTTTTCAACTGATGAACTTCCCACTTATTTTTCAAATGTGGAGTATTACATAAAGAGCCTTTTCTGATTACACAATATCTAACCATAGATCCTGTCACCCAGTTCTATGTTTTCATAAAATGATGATCAAGCACATTGAAAGCAAAAGCAGAATTTGAAATAGACCTTCTTCGTGAGTTATATAAAAATATTTTCAAATATTAAATTACCTCAAACCTTCTATACTTGGACACTAAGCTAATATAGCAATTGGAGGATGAGGTGTAGTCATGTCTTCTTATTGACACGTACATTCTAGCTATCTAAAGTCTCATCACCACAGGTGTCTTAAGGCAAGGCAGAGAAACAGTGAGTACCAGTGTGTGATACATCTGATTTCTCTTAGGCACACAGGATGAGATCAATTACTTCGGGAAGGGGCATTTTGCTCTCCTTTGGGTATAAAGGAAAACTGGAGTTACTAGGTTAGACAACTGACTTTGGATACACAAGTTACAGCAAATGGATCTCACCACAGGCCATAACTGACTCAAGAAAAATCATGTTTAGTTCCCATTAGATGATGCAAAACTCATATTTTCCCTTAGAAGTTTGTTGTTTTAAAATAGGAAACATATGCTGAATTTTTCAATTGCTAACAAATATAAATGACACAATAAAATCATTCATTTCTAAGCAATTAAGTCTTATAATCTTACAATAAAACAGCATCACGTTACAAAACAGACAGCTAAGAAACTGTCTTACAGAGTACCAAAAACAGTGAAAGGAAAATGCAAAAATAGAATGTGCATGATGTTCTATATTTAGCTTTGTGGGTAGGCTCTGAAATCTCCTTTGAGCTGTCTTCTTTGATAATCGCTAGTAAGACCAAATTCTGAGGCAATGGTAGAGTGTCCTCAGCAATATTTCTATCTGAGGACTCAAACCAGTCAGTATTCAAAGGCAATCTGTGAATTTATTATAGTTCTATACATAAGCATCTTATTTTTACTTTTATTAACTGAGTCTAGATCAAAATACAGAATTTTGCATCAACTATTTTCAATATGTCTTAAATTTTATTTTTAATATGAATGCCTGCTAATAGCCTTGAACTGGCAGACCTGCCTTGAAGATTGTCCCACTGTTAATGTCTTATTTATCTGTAACATAGAAATTAATTCGTCTCAAAAAATGATTTCAGAGTGAAATATTTTCATATCTCCCTGAATGTCAGCAGTTTTCCAGCTGCATGTTAACACTGCATCTGCAGTGAATCATACAGAATCATCATTTTAAGGAAAGAAGGAATGCTGGACATGTAGGTATATTCAGATACTATATTCCAACTATAGTATCAGTGTTTTCTTCAACAACATTAACTATCACACAAGAGCAGTCACATTAGCTTTCCAGTGGCATAAAACCTTTGAGAGTCTTCCTCAGTGCGTTTTTAATGTTATAAGGAATAAAGAGTAAGGGAAAAAGCATGCCATTCTACTCCTGATCCTATCATCACATGCAAAATATAACAGCACCATGCCCTTAACATTCAACTGCTTATCAAGCTAAAACAAAAGTGAAAATTCCATTTACCAAAAGGTAACTGAAATAGCTGTACTATTAGTCAGCAATACCCTTTTGGGGAATTTCAACGGTATTGCTATTGCTAGTTGGGAGAAAAGAAAATATCTCCTTCAGAGCTTGTATTTTTTTATGAGATACTACCAGTTTACACCACTCTTGTATTGTCAGAAATTGATCGAATAGATCTTAGCTTCTTACCATCAACACAGGCTGGCCTTGCTCTTGTCGTACCGGCAATCTGTCCTTTTTTACATGCACAGCGAGCTGTTTGTCGGGCTATAGTCCTTCGGGGCTGACTGCTATCTCTGTCCAAAGTAACAATCTCACATGTACCTGCAGCCAGTTGACCTGCAAAAAGAACCAGCAACAGGTACCAGAGTCACTGAGTGCACTACAGGCAATCTATTACAGCCGAACAGAGTCACGGCCCGATGTCACAGCAGACACTCCACAACAAATGGTCAGCCAGCTGATGGATATAATAAACCCAAGATGACATACAATTTTTCTTTGTGGTGGACATATGAAAACCCTGAAAACTGGTTCTGTCAGAAAATTATTATTGTTCCATAAAAGCCAGAGAGCTAGGTCACACAGGTTACTTTTACTTACGTTGGCTAAGTAAAGGAACAATCTGCTTCTACAGCAATGAAATTTAAATGGTGTGCTCTTTACGTACTTTCAGAATAGTAATGATAAAGTATATGGAAAACAAAAAACTTCCCCATATGCCCATGAATATAATGGAGTATTAACTGCTTTGCATGTTGTTTTTGAAAGAAAAAGTCTTTCAAAGTATGCTCATATTTGACCAGATTGTCAGTCATTTGGCTCTTGCATCATCCAAATTGAACGGTAATTCATTCTCTGCCTGATTCACGTTTGAAGTAGTTGGTCTTTTTTCTTTCACTAAATTTACTACAGAACCATCCTGCAAATGACAGTAAAATGACACTGCCCTGTTGCTTTTTATCGACTTGTTCAATATGTGTAGCTTTTCCTGAATACTAAGGAAATCCACACCACCTAATTCTGAATTTGGACCATGCTGAGAGGCAAAACAAAAAGTTGCAAAAAATTCTTTTAGGAAGAAAATTAGTCTGAAGTAAATGTTATAAGCTTAAAATTACGCCCTTTGTCTGGTAGAACCAAAAGTAGGCTACTAGTATACCAAAATACTACCTTCTACAAGCAAGAAAGATACTTTTTGAATTTCAGTGCTAAGTGAGCCTGAACAAAATCCAAGCTATCACTTTGTATTACATATAACTTCTGGATTTAATGGTACAGTAGTAAATATAATTTCTACTGGATTTTGTCTTTTTAGGCAATTAATAATAAACCTTCAAATGAATATGTGCAAAAATATAACTGTGAATCACAAGCTTACTATATTTTGTATTAAATTTTATAAAAAATAAGAGAACAAATGCAATATTATATTTATTAAAAAGTTTGCAGTTTAAACAATATTCACAGTAAATTATTTTTATGCTGTTGAAATATTGAAAAAGAACAATGAGACTAAATGCAGAAATTTTAAATCTGTATTAATATCAAAGTTTTAAAAATCACAAAAAAATACCCTGAAACATATATGAATGACACTTAATTTAAGTCTAAAAGTGTAATGATATCTCTGTATACTGCATTTTATCCATTCAGAATACAAGTTTACCCAGTATATTATTCTCAGAACCAGCTTGCTATGCTTCCTACTGTGTAGATACCGTTTTGTAACTGTCAGAGTAGCAAAATATTGTAGGCTGCCAACAGCATTGTGACTGGTTCACTGCTAAACCGCCTAAATTTTATGTTGCTGTGACTCCTACACTGCAGTGAATTACAACATGGTAAAATTGAGGATCCCAAAGATGAATATGGAACAAGTTACTCTACAAATTCATACAAATACATGACTTATATGTAAGTAGTATACATTATGCATTTATAAATACAGATATGATATTCATGATAGTGAACACTCTTACCACACTGTTTAATGGCTGCTGACAACTGGACTTATAAGCTATGGTCAGTCCTGGGTTTCCACTCTTTTCCACACACTCTTTTAATAAAAACATCTTAGGATAAACATACTGATGAGAGGATTTTTACTCTATTATATACTGTTTTTTTCTTTATTTCCTCTGAAAGATTGGATTAGAAAGCAAAGTTTTATCAAGAAAGATAGTGGCACAGGATTTTCCAAACAAAGACAAGGGAAATCCAGTTATGCTGAAACATCTTGAACTGAAAAAAAAAGCATTCTTTTTCCCCCATCACTAATAAATTTCATTTTGGGTTGCAAGAGATGTATTGCTCCCAAGGAATACAGCTGTCTTAGTAGATCATGTGAAAAAGACATAATCAGAGGTCTATTTAGATCCTGACCCCTTAGGCATTTGAACATCGTGATTACGGTCCTGCACTGAGAACGGAAATTGAATGGAAACCAAAGAAAAAGTGGAAGCATAAATATGATAAGTGTAAGTGTTCCTGAGAGTATGGGTTCCCTTATTCTTCACTATCTGTAAGTCTTTATACTATTGTTGCTTTCATTAAAAGATACAGTAAATTGCACAATCTAGGTGAATCATTATATAAAATCCCGTTTCAGAGGAAAGGACCCAGTTTTACAGCACAGTGAAGGTGAATAAGGAGTATACTCATACTAAAAGAACAAGGAAGCATGTCAAGATAATTTGTATGCAAAAAGCTTTCCAGGGAATGCAAGCAGTGACTATCCATAAGTATGCCTACAAATAACTTTTTTTGCTTCTGGACCTGTCCAAGTTTAGTTCTGCATAGGTTCATTTTGAGCCAACTGGGCTACTTGGTTTTTATGGTTGTTTTCAGCTGTTTATTCTGTTTAGAGATTGTAATTTCTTCCAGGCACAGTGACCTCATTTGTTTTGACAAACTTTGAAAACTGGGATACCTAAATGAGAGCAATTGCTATACCAAGATAATGCCACATTACATTTCAAGGAATTTTGTACAGCTATTACAAATAAGGGAAAATTGGAAAGATTTTTAAAACATTTCATAGATATTTTTTTTTTCTAACATAATTTCACTGTTGCCATTCTTGTTCCTATAGTGCAAGAAAATTGAAAGTCATTGTAGAGCTGCAGCAGCTTTTCCCACTATATGACATAAATACTTCCTGGTCATTGTGTCACACCGTGCAAAGATTGCATGTACATTGAGCACTGCAACAGAGTGTACATCCACTGCTACTTAGCTTTAGATGGCTATAAAGCATGACAAGTATTAGTTCAGGTTATGGAGGCCCATTTCCAGAGAGAGAGTCATCCTGTTGTAAAGCATGTTCTGCTTCTCATTAAGCAGACAGAAAGTCTACAGGAGTACCTTACTTAGATGGCATGTATGCTACTTTTGCTTTTTAACAATTTACTCTAGAAATGTAAGGTACAAAACGATGGAACAAAAGGAATATACTCCTTGCAAGTACCAAGTTTCACAAATTAGGATACCTTTCATTTTCAAGGAAGTTAACATAGTGACCTCTGTGAAAGATACTGATGAAAAAAGGCCATTCATCTGTGAGCCTCTGAACACCCTCCACTCCTAAGCACAGAGAAGAAATCTCAAGGCAGCAATGGATGGAGTTTCACTGGAGCTCTTCCAGTGGAGAGATTAAGAGCCACAGTCTATGGTACAGTCATGAAGATTCCCTATTATCAGTAGATCGTATTTATGTACTTGTAGTACACAAAGCAATTCACCATCTTCCAACCTGAATGAAATAACCTTGGGGGAAAAAAAGGCAAGCATTATCAGAGAACTCTGATTCATTCTAGCCTTGTCTGAAAGCTTTTCTTCCAAGAAAAAAAAAAAGTCACTTTTTTTCATTATTTTATGAACAAAGCATAAAGATTATTTCAGAGTTACCATCCTCCAGTTTTCCATGTAAATGAGTGGGTATTTCTTTGTTGTTTTATTGTTTTAATATTATTTTTATACATAAATATTTTCTATTTTATAAATACTGATTTTATAAATTTCTCTTAGAAATTAAGACTTCATTGGTAGTTATCTGATTTTGTGTTGCCACGATCTGGCTATTAAACAGATAAAAGGTTCATGTTCTTTAATGCTCTTCTATAATATTGTACTGCACTCTTAAAATGCCTATTGATATGTCCCTCTCTCTCCCACCACAAACATACATGCTTCTCTATTTAATTATTTCAGGAAAAAGGAAAACTACAGGATTCTGAATTAAAAGTAAGTAAAACTAAACCAAAACCAAAATACCCTGCAACCATTAAAATTCCAAACACAACAGGATTAGGCTTTTGGCTTCTAGCTTGCAGCCATGGAGTTGTTTATAGTAATTGCTGTACTCAGCGCCGATTTTGCTTTTTTTCTGAATGAAGTCCCATTGTGATCCATTCTGAAACTGCTCTTTGTCAGACTTTCATGGAAGTCTGTAGGAAACAGTGAGTTTAGGTACATACATTTAGTGAACGGTGTAGGAAAAATCTCTAGGTAAATTTATCATTTTTTTCAAAGTTCTTTAGTACTTACATTCTTGAAAGAATAGAGTTTGTTATGGAAAAATTTAAAAGTAAATGGCATTTTTTTTGTGTGTTACTAAAAGTCCTCTGTCAACTATATGTCATTGCTAGAAGAACAAAGCTTTTGAAAAATCCGTATTGTCTGTAATAGGTAAAACCCTCAAATAGTAAATATTTTTGTATTACATGGAATAATATTTAAGCTTTCTGTGGAGGAAAATATTTCTGTTCTCTAGTATAAAATAAAATCTGTCTAGTCCACATCAATTATAGCAAGTGTGTTTTAGATATTATGAATATTTAATTTATACATGCTGAAAAGCTGAAGACATCCCCTCAAATTCATCTGAAGAAATCAAATCAGATGATGAACTCATAGTATCTGTGGGTGCAATGAAAATAAAGCTTGATCTAAATATATGGGTCTTGCCACGGTTTTAGATTTCATGCTCATCCAGAAAATCTACTTCTGAATTGTACATGCAGGCTTACATTATAGTTTCAGTGAACAATTTTTCCATGCATCACCAATTTGATGCCTAGCAACACAAGCTCTTTTAGTTCAAAATGCATCAAGTTAGATGTTATTAAAATTCTTGGCTAGATTCAGATATTCTTTTGTTAGTGAACACAATGCAGGACTTGTTTCAAAATCAGATCATAGGAATACATTCAGCAGTTTTCTATTACAATACTGAAGTCTTTCTGACAACAGAGCCATGCCAACTCCTGAGCAGACCTGAATATCAACAATTCCTACTGAAATAAGAGGGAACTTAAGTACTTAGTGTCTCTCATGAT